GGACGGTGTAGATAATATGTTGTAAAATGCACTGTTTCTGAGACTTAAAATCTTTTTATTTTTCATGTTCATACATCTCGATGTCGAGATGATCAATCAAATGGTTTTTCAACATTAAAACTACCTTTTCCGATGGATTTTTTAGGTGATCTGTAGTTCTACATTAGAAGGTTGCATCCTTATATAAACTTTTTCCTTTTTTAAAAGCGAAATTTACATTCTAGTTTTTGGAATTAAATTATTTTATTTTATGTTCAAGTCCCACATTTTTAGGACTTTTTGATTCGTAATGTAGCCCCTCGTTGGACATTCAATGTCCAAACTGGGCTCTTTTTATTTTTGAGACGATAAGTGGCTTGGAAATTAGATGTCCAGATTCATTTTTTTATTCTCTGTGCCGATTTGGACATCTAATGTCTGAACCGCTCTACACTAAAAACTAAAAGACAAGTGATTTGGGTTCAAACATCCAATGTCTGAACCCGAAACACTTTCCTTTTGTTTTTAGCCTAAAAGAGCAGTTCAAACATTGGATGTCTGAACCGACACAAAGACAAAAAAGAATGGGTTTGGACATCCAATATCTGAACCTCTTTTTGACTCAAAAAGTAAAAAGACTTGGGGGTAAATGGGAATAAAAAGATCCCCCAAAACTGGGATTTGAACGTAAAAAAAATAAAATTAGGACTACTTTTATTTCTGAAAATTAGAAGGGACTAGATTGTGTGAATCTCTATATTCTGGCGATTGTGCCACAATGTTGGAAATTCTTATCTCAGGCATCTGGTGACCATAAATCCACAATTAATTGCGCAAATTCTCTTTCATTATGACTAATGTGTCCTCATTTTTTACCCATTTTTACACCCTTGTTTAGTTTTACCTCTAATTCTTTATTTGTTATGTAGTATCTTATCCTGTAAATTTTTTATTCACATGCAGTCAAGGCGTGCCATAGTATTGTGAGCCATTCCATGCATGCATTTGAACTGTTCGTTTTACATTATCACATGTAACTGATGATCATTATATGATACCAGCTGAATTGCATCCCAAGATTTTTAAATCCACCATACTGTAAGGAATGAAGAACACCTTGGAAGGATTTAGAAGCAACAAAAAATGAGGAATAAGCATTCACTCTTTTGAAATAGCTCCTACTTTTCTGGAGAGAGAATAAGTCCTTTTGTGTTCCTT